AAGCTCTCCGAGGCGCCCAAGACGCTCTAAGAGGCGCCTGGGACCGCCAAGAGGCCCCCGAGATGCTCTAAGAGGCCTCCACTGGGGAACCCTTCCTCTGCGTGCTGCCCACTTCCCTGATCGAGGCAATTCCTCTGGGCATCGTTTCTGGATGGGCTGGCGGGGTAACTTTTTTTGATCGCGAGCGCACCGGAGGACGCCGGGCGCCGTAAAAGGTCGCAGCAGGCAAGCTACGAGCTAATTTCGCCAAGGGGAAGGAAGGGAGCCGAAGAGACTGGCGGGGTTACTTTTTTGCTTGCAACCGCTAGCGGGCAGCCGCGCGGCGTCGACAGTCGAGTGAAGCCAGGCCTACGTGCAGGGCGAGTGCCTAAACAACAGCTGGCAAGCGTGGAAAAGAGGCAGGGCGGTTGGAAGAGCGCGAGCGGCGGACGGGCAACGAAAAAGAACGGGCGACTAACGCGGCACAGCTCAGAAGCCCACGACCACGCCCAAGTGCGCCAGTGAACCCGTCGTCCTCGGGGCACGTGTACAGCAACGTGTGACCGCATGAGGCCTGCGAGTCGGCGTCAATCGGTTACCGTGGGCCGAAACGCGTGAGCCCGCCGCGTGAACGTGCGTAGGATAAACGCGTCCATGACCCTGCGTCACAATATCCCAACCGCCAGAACGAGTCGACGAAGGGGCATGGCCAGTGAAGGGCGCGAAAGCTCCTGTCGCGAGAGCCGACCAGGAGTACCGAAAGCTGCAAACCCAGCCCGTCCATCAGGGCCGCCGCGGGACAGCCGACGTGAAGGACCCACAGGCCCGCGCGCCCCTGCGGGAGCACGGAGGGCCTGGGGCATGCTGTAGATGGGGGGCGGCTAGCAGCCGCGGAACATGGTGGTGAGTGAGTGGGGTCGCAGCTAACAGCCGCGGTGAATGGGTGCACTATGGCGAATGGGGTTGCAGCTAACAGCCGCGGAGAAAGTGTGTAAAGGGCGGACCGTGGGCCTCCAGTGGGGGAGAGCCACGAGGGGCAAGGGGAAGGGCAACGAGACAGTCGAACCAGGGTGCCTATTGTCAGCATGTCTCGACGCCCCCGGGGGAGCGTCGGCACGTCGTCGAGACAGTCGTGTGTGAGTAAGCGCCCCTGGTGGACGCGGTGAGGGCAGCCACACTGCGAGGGGGGGCGGCTAACAGCCGTGGAGATCGGAAGAAGACGATCGGGACTGAGCAACACTGCAGGGAGCTGTAGAGTGGGGGCGGGGGTGCAAGATGAGACCGCTGTGTGTAGGCCCTGGCCACCCCTGGGGGGAGCACCAAGGGCGCGGGCAGAGTGAGAGTGGCGCCTGCGGCTAACACCCGCGGGTAGTGGAGACGTGGTGGAGAGAGCCACGCGAGGAAGGGGCGAGAGGCAAGGGGGGCGACTGACAGCCGCAGTGAGTGTGGACAGAGTGCGAGGCAGCCAGGCGGGAAACGGTAGGGGCCGGGCCGCCAGGCTGGATGGTCAGTGAGGGCCCGGCGCCAATATGCGGGGCAGCCCGGGGCTGCAAAGGGGGTGCCGCAGAGTAACCGGGGACCACTAGGAAGGGTTCAATCCCCGAGCCGCGGACAGCGTGCCGGGGGGGGGCGGCAATCATCCAAGGGGAGAGAGGCCGAAAAGTGGCGCCCCGGAAGGGACTCTAAGGCCTGTGACGGGCCGCCAGCCCCAGCTGGGCACGTCCAAGGTGATATTAGCGCACACAAGAAGGTGCAGTCAAGAATTTGGTCGGCTCTGGCGGCCAGAAAATTATGCACCGTACCATTCCTGGGTCGAGAATCGACGACGCCTCGAGAGGCGCCAACGCGGTACGGTCCACACATGTTGTTCGCGGATCCTCCCCCCTCCCCGCCTTCCATTTCCTCCGCCTTGTCCTCCCCCTCACTCTTTCCCCGTCCAGCTCCTCAGGGCATGCCAACAACTGCTGCGCCCGGGGGCAAACTGCCGCGAGGCAGGCGCCCGAGCCGCCTCCGTCGACTTCACCAGCGTCTGAGGGTTGATCGACATAGCTCGTGTGCCTGCGGACGCTCGGGCGGTGCCGAAGACGAGGTGACGCGCACGGGGAAGACGAGGACCGAGGGAGGGGGAGGGGCACGAGTGAAGAAGGATACCACAGTGGGTCAGATCGAGATCGTGGCATCCACAACCCGCGGGGAGGAGAACGGCTGCCACATCGCCGCTGCATCGGCGACATCGAGATGGAGAAAATCGGGCTCTGGCCCAGTCGCGTCCCATTGCCGATGCATCGGCGATAGGACGCGATCCTCCGACCCCATCTACTCCGACCCGATTTGGGCGGCCTGTAGGAAGACAGCACCTCCGCAGAGCATAAACTGTGGTGGTACAACCTGAGCTCCTCAGAGTCCGCCGACCGCCGCCAGCATGGGGTGAAGGGGCGTGTGAGGTGATGTGCTGTCCCTCTCTCCCTTTATCCCATCCCCCGGGGTCCAACATTCCGTTTTAGGGGTGTGGGGGGGTCATGTGTGGGGGCCTCATGCGTGCTCGTCAGAGCAACTCCAGCGCTCTCCGATCCTCCAAACCCATTCCCCGTCGCCTCCAAGATGCTTAACATGCATTCCAAGACAGGGGGGGGGCCTCATATTGGCCCAGAAGGACAGCCGAGAAAGCCCCCGAGAGGGTCCGCAGGTGGCCCACGAGGGCCCCACGACTGCCCAAGAGGCACCCGGGGTAGCCAGCAGGGCCGTCAGGAATGCCCACGTCAGGGGCCAGGGAGGCCCGAGAAGGGGAACTCGCATGGGCCCCCCGGAGACACCCCCCGCCCACGAAGGCAGCAACACGCCACGAACATGCCACGAATCACGGCCCGCAGATACGAGAGGAGGAGGAGGAGGAGGAAGACTACAAAGCCGGGCATGAGCCAGACAGATCGTCGGAGGTGTCGGTTCTTGAAGGCCCATGGCCGAACCCCGAACCCTATGTCCGAGACCCCCCACAACATGGCCTCCGACCAGAAACAATTACACACAGCCGGCACGACCGGACGCGGCAAACAACGCAGACAACACCGCAAACCAGACATATCCTCTTCGGAGGTCGGCAGAAGTGGCGTAGGCCTCTTGAATGAGAGGCGAACCATATTAGCTTTCTGCTTTCCAGACACAAGACAGATCAACACGCGTCCGCTGACAACACAACGCGCTCTGGCTCGACCAGACGGATGGACTGATCGGCACGAACACTCGTGGTCCCTGCCGTGAACCGAATCGCCATGACCAGGTACTCGCAGTCAAAACATGTCAACACGTGGGGAAGACATACGCCATCCTGTACACAAATGGCGCCCGTTGCTGCAGGGAGCGTCCTCGTCAGGTGTGGAAGTTCGGAAAGGCCGACAAATGTGGACCGTCACGGTGAACACAAAGACAAGCCTGGCCACTGATTCATCTAAAGCTGGCGGCGCGCTGAGGCCTCGAGCTGCGCCGAAGGCGAGCGCTCGTGGCTCGCCTCCACCCCCGACGCCCAGAGAGACCCCGTGGGCCCGCGCGCGCACGTCAGAGGCGACGATAGGGGCGAGTAGCCCAGGGGAGAGCAATACATGTATTCAGGTGCGCCGATGATCTATGTCTTCGACCAGGCTCCCGGGCGAATGCGTGTAATGCCCGCCCCTGGGCTATTCGCCCCTATCGTCGCCGCCGAGCACCTCGACCGCCTGCGCCTCGAGAGACCGGGGCAACAGGACACTGGCGGCGCCACGCTATGATGGGCCTGTTTTCCACCACCACCATAAGTTGGAGGGGGGAAGGAGGTGGAGGACGAGGAGGAAGAGGAGGACGAGGAGGAGGAGCAGGGGGAGGACCCCCTCCCCTTCCAACTTATGGTGCTGGCGGTGGTGGAAACCAAACCCATCCGTAGACCTGGCGCGCGGGCGCCAGCTCCAAAGACCAAGGAGGCTACCCCCATAAGCCAATTGCTAACGCCGCCCGGCTTGGCGACGGAGCGCGCCGATTCCGTACGGAAGCGGGGCCCGTCGCTGACCCGCGGGCCGTGCTCCGTGCTTGCGCTTCCTTGAAAAAGAGGCCCCCGTGGGCCCGCGCGCGCTCATCCGCAGAGGTGCAAAAAACACTTCGGGAGAGCAAGGCAGCACGACCCATGCGGCATCCCAGGGGGCTGCACCGCGCCCTGCCCCGCCTGCTCTGCGCTCCCTCCTCCCCCTCTTCGGCCTCCTCCCCCCCCCCCTCCTTCCTTGGCTACTGGGCACTCTGCGGATTGTAAAACAGCACTGCGGAGCGGGCGCTCGGTGACCCGCCCCGCACGCGAGCATGGAGGACCTGCGCGTGCGCGCGCGCCGCGGCCGCCAGCAGTGGTGAGGCTGGCGCCTCGCTGGGTCCGTGGGCTGCGCTGCGGGGCAGGCACTCGTGACCCGCGCCCGCGCTGGATCCTGAGGCGGCGCAGCGGAGCGAGCACTCGTGGCCCGCGCCCGCCCCGAGCACGGAAATATTTCTTCCCTGCGGGAGCGGAAGGGGGCGGCCATTCCTCCTCTGGCTCCCTCTCCCTCTGTCCTACCCATCTCCAGCTCCTCCTCCATCCCTCTTCTCTCTATATGTATACACATAACTCCTCCCTGTCGCACCTCCAGACGTGTCGGTGGGGTGGGCTTGGCGTTACGCCTCAGTATTCTCCCCACTTGTGACCTTGAAGCTCGACATCTGCGACAGCTGCACGGATGGAGACGTGTGCTGTTTCCAGAACGGAACGCTAGCCTTGCAGTCGCGCATTCAACTAACAAGTCAGGAACAGTTACCAGGCTGGAGAACATGTCGTGTTCAAAATGGGGCTCTCGCCTCAAAGCCGCGCGCATTCGTCTGATAAGAATATAGCAGTTGCAATGGATCACAGCTCTTTTTCGAAATGGGGCTCTCGCTTGAGATTTCCTGAATCTTAAAAGCAATGCGCTTCAACATATGTAGCAATTGCAGGAATGGGGGTGGCTCCTTTTCAGACCGGTGCTCTCGTTCGAGACTTCCTCGGAGTCCATAACCCAACATGTAGAAACTTGTGTGCAACTGTTGCACATGTGGGGCGGGGGCGGTCATTTTCAACAGGGGGATCTCGCTGAAACCTCGTTCAACTGCATGATCATGCATGCTGGCATTCATAACTAGACGCAACACAATTCCTTTCCAAAACGGGGCTCTCTCTCTCTCTCGCTCCATTTTATCACCGCTCGCCCTTCCTTCCTCTCTTGTCTCTATTCTCTCTCTCCTCTCTTACGACCCCGTCTTTTATTGTTATGCTTCGCCCTCTATCCCTCTCAATATATCTCTCTCTCTCATTGTTTTGTTTTCTCTCTCTCTCTCTCTCTCCCTCTCTCTCTCTCTCTCTTCCTTTCCCCAAATGTTCCCCCCATGGGTTTCCACAACGGCTGGAGGATCACGTAGTCGAATATCTTGGCCATATTCTGGCCCAACAATTTGCCACACGTTTGAATTCAAACGGCATGGGACGGTGGTGGCTCGCAGTAGGCATTGTCGATACCTCCTCCTTGTCGCACCACCAGACAACTATATCGGTACGGAGGGCTAGGCCTTTCGCTTGGGACCTGCACGAAGCTTCCCCAACACGATGCTCGCACTGAATTGCCCCTAGCCCGCCGTATTACTCTCGGCCGCTCCCGGTGTTTACCTATCCTTCGGCTGGTGCCCAATGCGTTGGTGCACTGCGGATGGCCGCCTGGGTCCAGTCGGGATTTTCCGATCGGTACCGCCTGGCCAATGCCCTGAGCGGTGGTGCCCTATGGCTGGCCCTCCGTGCCGTAGTCGACCCCTCCTGGTCGGTATGGATGGTGCTGCACGTCGCTGCCTTGTGGCTGGCCCTCTGCGTCGCAATTGGCGGCCCTCTGTCGGCGCTCTACGGTTGGTGCGCTGTTGTCCCCAAGGGTGCGCATGCCCTCTGTGGGAAACCGACACAAGGGGACCCGCTCTTTCGGGCCTCCAAAACCGTGCGGTGATGGAGCGCGCGGTGAGGCTCGGAGCCCCCCCGTCGCTCGAGACATCCTCGGAGGACGAAAACAAATCCCCAAACCGCGGGGTGATCCCGGATCCCCACAGACTCACCACGCGGTGTGGTCACCACACCGTTTGGGGGCCCACGAAACTCTGGGGGTGGGGGGAAACATACCCGGAATCGACCATACGTCGCCGATGAATTGTTGGCACGACCCCCAGTATGACCCCCAATGTTGAAACCGAAGCTTGCTGGGCAATGTGGAGCACCCGAGCTCCGCTCGGCGGTAAAATTATGACTTGGGGGACGCGTGACCCCCCGAGACGATTCCTCATTTCGGCGCCCCTTGTTACAGTCAACGCGTATACAGTCGGACCTAGGCCAGAAGAACATCCAAGGGTACCCTCCCCAGGATGCACAAGAACATCCAACAAACACGAAGAACACCTCGATTTCTTTATGCGCGACGAATGCCAGCAACGACAGACAGCAACGAAGAACACCTCGATTTTACACTTCGGTCCGACTGTAATAAGGATGCACGAGAGGGGCACGAGGACCTTCGAAGGTCATGTCGACACTTTTCAAGCGGGGCGAAGCCAGCGAAAAAGGACAAGGCTGGGCCGACGGGGAAGGATGCAAGGGCAACCTTGGAAAGTCGCTCATCTTTCCCATCAGTACTGACTGGCCTACCTTCCAGGTGTCGTGACCAGGGGGGCTGCGGGTCGTGAGAGCGCCATGGAAGGCCCGAGAGGGCTCCAAGCTGGCCACCAAACTGGCCTCCACCATCCTTGCCTTTCCTTCTGCGTCCCTTCGTCCGGCTCGTACTCCCTCCCCCCCTCCCCCCTCCCCCGTCCCCCTTCCTCCGTCCTCCTTCTCCTCTTTCTCCTCCTCCTCCGTCCTCCGTCCTCCGTCCTCCGTCCTCCGTCCTCCGTCCTCCGTCCTCCGTCCTCCGTCCTCCGTCCTCCGTCCTCCGTCCTCCGTCCTCCGTCCTCCTCCTCCTCCTCCTCCTCCTCTTCCTCCTGCTCCTCCTCCTCCTCCTCCTCCGCCTCCTCCACCTCCTCTCTCCCGCCTATGTGGAGCCCGTCGTGCAGCAGCGTGCCCCGCCCTCCTCGTCCTCCTGCTCCTGCTCCACCTCCCTGATTACTTACTCACACCTCCTGCCTGTCCTAGGACGTTTTAGGACCTATGAGAAGCCGTTTGCAGCGCCGAAGCGAACGTGCCGTCTCCGATTGCCCGCATGATCACAAGGAACTCGCTGAAGTCGAACTGGGCTTCCTCCTCCTCGGCCTTCTCAGGCATCGTTCTCCGGAGGAACGCCCTCAGCTCGGTGCTCGAGTCCCTTCCGAGAGCAGCGACGTCGGCGCACTGCCCCTGGCCCTGGTGGCTCCCCATCGCTATCAACCTCAACTCGCTGCTCGAGATGAACAGCCGGTCGCCCCTGGCGGTGTCACCCTTCCCCGGTGCGGAGAGGAACGCTGACCGCAGCTCCGCCACCTCCGCCAGGCTGAACGACGTCTGCTCGATCGCGCGGGTCTCTCGAGAGAGCACGTCCTTCTCCCGTGCCTCCACGAACAACTGGCAGAACCGCCGGAACCCGGCGAAGTCCAAGCCGCCCCCGCCGGGAGACACCTGGGCCATCAGCTCTAGCAACTGCGGCCGGAACGAGGCGTCGCTCGCCTCGGAGAAGCTGGCCTGGAGCAGCTTCATCAGCGACTGGTCCTTGATGATCCCCGTCCCGTCGCGGTCGTGGTGGTTGAAGACGTCCAGCAGGGATCTGAGCCCGCGGTCGGCGGGACGTCTCGATGGCCGAAGCGGGGCCAGAGCCAAGCAGACAGGCCGATTAGACACAGATCGGCGGCGAGCGAGGGGGGAAAAGGCGCCGGAACTTCTCAGAAGCCTCCCAGCCTCCTGAAAAGTCTGCTGTGTCTTCGGGGGAGGCTTAGGCAACTTTTCGGAAGACGTGGGGACTTTCGAACCTTCTGCGAAGGCCCGCCAACTGTCCCTTCGCCCCCAGGCGCGCCGCCGAATAAACAGAATTAGGGGCACGCGGAAGCGGCGGCTTGCGGAGCCGTCGGCGTCTTGCCGAGGCGAAGGAGGAGGAGGGGGAGGAGGAGGAGGAGGAGGAGGAGGAGGAGGAGGAGGAGGAGGAGGAGGGGGAGGAGGAGGGGGGGAGGCGGAGGAGGGCTTTGGGGCTGTCCTTCTGCTGCCTCTGCGGGGCCCTTGCTCCAGTGCTGCTGCTCCTGGCGTGCCCCCCGGGGCCCTCTCGGGAGGCCGCCCATGTGGGGTCGTCGGAGGGCCCCACCGCGTCGCCAACGCATCGGCGTTGTCTCCGACGCTGGGACGAAGCACATCGGGCACATGATCGACCCGCATCGCCGATGCACTGGCGAGGCGGCGCGACCTCCCAGCCCCACGTGCCAGCTATTCAGCGCCAGCCGCAACTGGCTGCCCGCGATGTCTCGAGAGGGGTGTCGAAGCCGATGCGCCACCCAGGGGGGTTGAGGACCAAAGCCCTCCCAAGTGTGGCTGATCTGGCCAGGGCCTAATTTTTGTTGGCCTCGTTGGGCCAGGACCCCGAGTCCTTCCCCGAAACCCGCGTCTCGTCCCGAGTCGTGCTCTGACAGTCCAAGGGCCCGAGGAAGGCCCCGGGAGGCCGAAGACAGCGAAACACCGGAGGACGCATTTCCTGCGGGACCCGTTCGCTCTGTTCAGCGGCTCGCCCAGGGGGGAAGGCAGCGGCAGAGGGGGCGGGACCTCTCAGAAGGCTCAGAAGTCCTCCAGCCTTCGGAACAGCTCTCTACGCCTCCTCCAACGCCACAGGAGAGCTTCTCACAAGGACGGGGGGCTTCTGAGAAGCCCCGCCGCCTTTTGAGAAGGCCTGCCCCCTCTCAGACGCCCGGTGGTTTTTGGGGGTCATAACTCGGCGTCTAGCGGCTGTTCGTGTCGACCGTGCATCCCTGGAACGCCCTCGGCGAGGCGCAGCTGCTTGGAAACACCCAGGGCGAAAAAACCTAGGATAACCTACCAAAACGCAAGAGTAACTCGAACCTCGAGCCCGAAATTCCAAAACTGTCCCTCCCACGCGCCGCCGATTCATGGTGCAATCGTAGCGGCTTGGAGGCCCTCGGAACGGCCGGCCCGACCGCGGATCTGAGCTCGCCGCTGCTGAGGCCGCCATTCGCCTGGAGCCTGCGCCGGCTCTTCTCGGCGAGGCGGGAGTAGGTGCGGAAGAAGCCCTCCTCGAATGGGGATGAGTATCGTTCAACCGATCCCCATCCCCACCAGCGTGGTCTGGGCCCCGCTGGCCGAATTACCCCCCTAGACGGGGATATAGGTCGTTCCCTTCGGGTTTCGAGGGGTGTATCCCCAATTGGGGGGGTAATTTGGTAGGGGTCTCGAAGGGGATGGGGATGGGGATGGGGATCGGTTAAACGATACCGACGTATGGGGAGCATGCGTGAGGCGATGAGTCATGCGATCCGCGGGCGGAGGCACAGAGCAGGTCGAGAGATGGGGACCCGCCCTGCGGCGGCGGCCCTCGAGACTGTTGAGCACGGGGGGCGGCCACCATGGGGAACGCTTGCTCTGTGCGTTGGTCGGTGCTTCGGATCGCCACGCCGGCGTGGTTCTTCACGGCTCAACTCAGCAATGCAATCCGTGTCGGGCTGCTTCATCCTGGGTGGTTTCCGCCAACTTACGCGCCCCTCAAACCAGCGGGCCCGGGCGCTGACCCAGGCCAGGGAACACCACATCAGGAACCCAAACCGCCGACGTCTTCAACGATTCAGCACGGAAATGCTTAGTCGTTTTCGGATCCCGGGGGCCCTCGCTGGGCCCCGGGGCCGCAACAGAAACGGCATGGCATGCAGAGGCAGCCCCGCGGGGAAGGCTCGCACCTTCCGGGGGCCCCGCATGGATGCAAATCAACGCATCGGACGTCTGGGAACGACGTGGCGTCTCTGGCCGCGGCGATTTCGGCCACGAACCGGTCCCCCGACCCAGACCCATGGGACGGCCAGGAAACCAGATCCCCTCAGGGCTGAACCTAAACGGTGTTTTCGTCTTCGCTTTGTTTTCGTTTTCCCTCGCTTTTGTCTCGAATCCGCCTTTAACGCAAAACGAAGTCGAAACGAAAACGGCCCACGAAGTCGCCAAAACACCGTTTAGGTCCTGAACCGAACATGGTCCTTCCTTCAGCGCTTTGGATGTCGACGGGGTCGCGAGATCGTACCGCATCGCGAAAGCATCACGCCGGCGACGCACGAGGATGGACATCGGGAGCTGGCCAGACCCAGCAGGCAGCGGGCGCGCCGACTTTGTCGACGCATGGTCTCCCCGACCTCTCGACCACGTCGCGGGGACCAGCGTTTCATCCTGATTGAAGCTTCTGGGAGCCCGAAACATGGTTCCAGAGGCAATCCTCGGCACTCCTCAAAACTCTTCAGGAATCCTCGGAGGTCCTCGACACTCATTGGCACTCGTCGGGGCTCGTCGGCACTCTTCGGAAATCATCGGCACACGTCGACATTCCTCCGCCTCTCGTCGGCGCCCGTCCTTCGCAGTCCTCCTCATAATTCCTCCTGCTCTTCTTTCTCCTCCTCCTCCTGCTCTTCCTGCTCCTCTACCTCCCCTTCCCCTTCCCATCTTGCCTTCTCCCCCCCCGTGGACATGCAGTGTTGGGCGGAAGCGGCTCAGCCCACGGGCAGCGACATCAGATTTGCAGAACGGGAGAAAGGGGCCGGGGGTGGAGGGCGGGGGAGTGCGGGCACAATACATATCTCCTTTGTGTGGCCCCGTCTGCGCGGCAACGTACGGGCCGTACGTCCGAACATGTCAGGAGCGGCAGTGTGAACACAACTACAAGATATCCGTATGGGCCGCACTGGGCGCGGCAACATACGGGTCGCACGGGTGAACATACGAGGACACATGTGCATGCGATTGCAGAGCATGAATTCGTACACGTAGAGCGCGCAACCCAACTCGATATTCCATGAACATACGGATGTGCACTTGAATGGCAAAAGAGGCCGTCCCCCGTTCTCCCGGTTACCGTTCCACAACAAATCCGTGCATTGTTTCGCACTTGAACCCACGTATTTGCAACAACGCTGCAAACAACAATAGCACCTGAGCGCTGCACTGGCACGGGTAGAGCCCATTGTTTCTGTCGGAGCAGATGGGATCCAACAAAAGAGAACTGCCACAACTCTGAGACGGCGAGCCACTCGAGAGACCAGCATCGAACGTGAGAGCACTCAGAGTTGTCACGGAGCGCTCCCAGCAAATATACAAGCCTGAAAAGAAGAACAGGGCAGGGAGGGTGGGCCACATGACTATGACGATGCAAGCGACCCATCGTATGCCTCCCCGCTCCCGTTCTGGCAAGCAAAGGTAACATTATCAATATTGGCAATACCTGAGTGCTGTACTGGCACGGGTAGAGCCCATGTTATCTGTCGGAGCAGATGGGGTCCAACGAAAGAGAACTGCCACAACTCTGAGACGGCGAGCCACTCGAGAGACCAGCATCGAACGTGAGAGCACTCAGAGTTGTCACGGAGCGCTCCCAGCAAAGATACAGGCCCATAGCCCATAAGATTGGAACGTGGGGCAGGGTGGGTGGGCACACGCAATGGCGCTAGCATTGAGACGGCGTTAGCCTCCAGGATGGGCCAGCGAAGCTGCTCGAGATAAAACGAAAGACAGGAGAACATTTGGCGTCGGCTGGCGTGCCTCAGCGAAGGCGAAGCAGGACGGGCAGCTTGTGGGGCAGGGCCGTGCCGTGCTTCTGCTGGCGCTCGGACAGCTTGCGCACCTGCCGCAGCACGCGGCCCTGCTTGGCGTAGTTCTTGACACCGGTCTTCGCCTCCCAGCGACCGCGCTCCTCCATCTGCGCCAAGGTGCGGTGGTTGTGCAGCGCGTCCTCGCTGGGGCCGCCGTGGCGCAGCATGCGCGGCGTCAGCCGCAGGGGCTCCAGGCCGGCCTCGGCCGCTGCGGCGCTGAAGAGCCGCTCGAACTTCGCGAGCGCCAGGCCGGCGAACAGCTCGGCCGAGCCCGAGGGGCCCGCCGCCTGCAGGAGCACCTCCATCAGGCGGCGGAGGTGCGCGCGGCCGGCCCGCACCGGGATCTCGTCGTGGATCAGGGCCGTGTCGTCGTACTTGCCGGTCTTGGCCGGCGCCGTCGCAGAGCCCTCCTCGTCCTTCGAGCGAGGGGCGGCTGGCGCGATGGTGATCGCCAGGGGTCCGCGGGCTGCGACGTCGGCGACGTCGGCGCGCCCGATGTTCAGCACCTCCGAGGGCCGGAAGTAGGCGTCCTGCATCGGGGCCGCCGCGCGCGCCGCTGCCAGCCCGTCGCCGCCGCGCTTCGCCAGCTGCTCGACGGTAAGAGCGAGGGCGATCCAGGGGCAAGGATCGCGAGCCACCTCGGGTTCCTCCTTGCGCCACCCCTGGAGGGCGCGCTTGGTCCGAGGCAAGACGCCCTTGCCGCCGAAGCTGAGTATGAGGCTGAAGGCCACCGCGGCCAACATCATGCGGACCGAGCTGATGGCCTCGCCCTCGAAGTGCAGCTCGGTGACGAACGCCTCGAGGATGGCGTCGAGCGTGCTCAGGTCGGTCGGCGGCGCGCGGCCGTGGAAGCGGACCGCCCGCTGGTGCCGGCTCTCGTAGACGGCCGCGGTCTTCGGCGAGACGCTCTTGCTCTTGAGGTGCTGCTGTCGTGTCGCCACTGCCTCGGCCGCGCCCGCTGCAGGCGCGGCGCGGCGCTTGCTGGCGCGAGCAGCGCGGGCCGCCTTCCTGGGGGCGCGCATCGCAGGCGGCCGTGCCTCGGCACGCCGCGGGCGCCCGCGGCGCGACCCAGCGGTGGTCGCGCCCTTCCCAGGATCGGGCTCCCGAGGGCCACTCTCGGAGGCCGTCGGCCAGGAGGGCGTCGATGTGGGGCCCGACGGTGGTGGTGTCGACTCCTGCGGCCCAGAGTAGCGCAGCGCGCCGTTGACCGCGTCCCACTGCATATCCGTCCTCGGCCGCCCCGAGCCGCGAGCCGCGAGGAGCCGCCGAGGCGGCAATGGCGGCCCGGGCTCGGCGCAGGCCAGGCGGGTAGGCACCGGCCAGAGTGGTGCGCCAAACCGCTCGAGCCTGCGAGGCGGCGGCTGGCTGGGTCGAGGGAGCAACGTAGACCTTTCCCTCCAGGATGTCGTGATAGTGGTTCCCCTGACACGCCCGATGAAGCCCACTGAGACCAGGGAGTGTACCCAAGAGACCAGTAGGCTTGAGGTAGTGAGCTCCGAACTCGCACATGTCCAGACGGACGAAGACGGACTGAGGCAACTTGAAGAACGGACGAACGAGGTCATGTTTCCACAGGCGTGAGCGTAGCGGATTCTCGGGTGTCCAGAAGATGTCAAGCCGCTGACACAAATTGATCAGCCTTCGGGTGATGCGGACGTCGCGTGCTGCCCGCTGAGCGTCGGCGGAGGAGAGAGGTCCGTGTCGTGCTGTGCTTCTCGTAGCAAATGGCGCCCCAAGATGCACCCGCCAGACGGTCCCGCCACGTAGCCAGCCCTCAAGAACCCGAACCGTTCTCCAAGAGTGCAGGTCGAAGTAGGGGGCCCGTTCGAGATCCACAGGAGGCAGTAGTCGAAGCCCAGAGCCCAGTAAAGCCGATGAAAGCCTGCTGGTGCCCGAGTAGACCTCCAAGAACGCCCGAGCCCGTTGTGCGGTACGAGGCGCGCGTGGAGGAGGAGGGCGCTCGGACAGGCGGCGGCGCGCGCCCGTCGCCGGCTCAGGAGGCGGCCGCGCCACCGCGTGCAGCCGCGGCGGCAGGCGCGCCCGCCTCGAAGAAGTAGAGTGCGTAGTAGTCTTGCCATCGCCAGCGCGGCCGCGAGGCGGCCGCGGCGCCCAGAAGCCCAGCCGCTGCGGCGAGCCGCCGTCAGCCGACTTGGCGAACAGCAGCGGGTGCAGCAGCAGCACCTGGCGGGGCGCGGGGGCCGGCCAAGGCTCGCTGGCCTCAGGCCCTCCTGGGGCGAGCGGCGGCGGGCGGCTCCACTCGGCGGCGTCCAGGGCGAGGCGGCAGGCGCGAGTGGCGCCCAAGATGGCCTGACCTGGGCCGACCTCCCCGCCGTCGGCCGCCCGCGAGTCGTAGTCTGCGCAGTTGCGAGCGCTCTCGATGTAGCGCAGGTGCCAAGCGATCTCAGCGCCGATAGCCAGGGCCGCCGCCTGCCGCGCCAGGGGCCGCAGCCAGAAGTCCGCGGCCCGGCCCTTCATGAATGCCAGCAGCGCGCTCAGTTTGTCGGTGAGACCCAGCAGGCGCGCGCCGTGCACCGCAGGGCAGCGTGCCGCACGCCGAAGCTGCATGAGAGCGACGCGAGCCTCCGCCCTTCACGATGTTGCGCCAGCGGGCGGGGTCCGTCCAGGAGTCGTCCAGGGCGCGAAAGGAGTCCGACGCCTCCACGACGCGGCAGGGAGCCCGCCGTCGTCGCGAAGCAGATGAGGTGGCCCCCTGCTCCGCGATGCCCGCGATGTCGAGCCCCAGCGAGCCGAAGGCCGCCGCCAAGTGTGGGGCGTAGGCCTCGATGCAGTCGTCGCATGAGGTTGGCCTCCTCGAGCTTGAACCCCCAGCGATCGCGCAGGCGGTCGGCGTCCAGGATGTCGGCGGCGGGCGCCCGCGTGAAGGAGAGCGAGTAGCCGAAGGTCGAGCTGTCGCCCGAGAACACGATGGGCGCCCGGGGCGCCGCCAGATCCACATCGACCAACTTCGCAAGGCTCTTCAGAACCCGGAGCTCCTCGGTCAGGGCCGCGCTGAACCAGCCCCACTCGCGCCGGCTGTGCCGATGGAGAAAGCGGTAGCAGTGGTCTAAGGCAGAGAGGCCCCAGGGCATCAGGCGGAAGTGGTTCACGAGGTGGCCGACGACGCGCTCGAGGGCGACACCAGGACACCCGCCCTGCTCGATGAGGCGACCCAGGGCCAGGTAGGGCAGCCAGGTGTACTTCTAAGTCGGCAGGAGCTGGAGCTGGGAGCCGCCCAGGAAGCGAAGGCCAACCACCGCGAGAGCGGTCTGCGTCCGCTCGATGTCGTGGACGAGGAACCCCATGCCCTCCAAGCGAGCCAGATGCAGGTCGAGGCCGCGCTCGGTGCCCTCGCGGTTGAAGCCTATCACAGTGCCGTTGTCGACGTATTCCGAGAAGACAGGGCGACCGGGAGCGACAAGGGGCACGGGGGCGCCCTCGCGCAGCAGGCCGCCTAGCGGAAGGCGGGGGCGGCCAGGGGCCCGGGTGCAAGGGCCCGCGGCAGCGAGGGCGGCATCCCCCATGATGGCCTGGCAGAAACAGAGGGCCCAGCTGAAGCCCATGCAGAGCACCTCCATGACGAAGTACAGCGTGGTGTCGCTGTGGACGGGCAGGTCGCGCTCCGCGTCCTCGTCTTAGCAGGAGGTGGCGCCCCAGTCAAGGGCGAGGAAACCGAACTCCACCCCGAACCGGCGTCCCAGCCGCTTGGCCCGGCACTGGTAGAAGCCCTGGTACAGGTCCAGGCTGGCGATGTGAATGTCGGCGGCCCGCGGATCGCAGCCCGCGACCTCGAAGGCGGCCTCGCTCAGGTCGAGGTCGCGGAGGGCGCCGGGGCCACCCAGCTGCGCGCGCGGGGGCTCCTGCATGAGCTGGTTCGCCTCCCGCGCGTCCACGATCACGCGCTGGGACCCGTCCTTCTTGGCACGGAAGAACAATGCGATGCGGGCTCTGATCGAGGTCCGGAGTCCGTCCAGCCCGCAGGCCAGCAGGCCCTTCAAGAGGTCGAAGAGGGCGCTGCGAGAGGAGCGGAGCTTCGGGTCCCAGTACGGCTTCACTGGGGTGCTCAGCCCGTCCTGGATGCGCGCCTCCACCTCGGCGGCGGAACGCTCCAGATGCCGCTCGGACTCGAGGTGCTGCGTGAGCGCGTGGCCCGTCAGCACAGACTCCAGCGGCTTGGGGTTGGTGGGGCGCTTCAAGACCTTCAAGCGATCAGCGTCGAAGACCCCGAGGCCCTGTGGCTCTGTGTCGTATAAGTCGGTGGTCTTGAGAAGCTCAAGCAAGGCTTCCTTCGGGGGGGTGCTAGGCGCGTCACCCCACCGCGAAACTCTCCGCCCAACCCGTGAGATCACCGAGGCCTGCGGCACGTTGGGGACGCGGGAGGGCGGGTCGACGATAGCCAGAGGCGACTGAGCGGAAGCCGATGCCAGTGCGTTGAGAGCGACGATCGACTCCGCTACGCCAGCACGCCGTGCCCGACGGCGAGAGGCAGCTCGAGCAGCTGCGCGATGCTGGCGACGGTCATGATGCTCAAGACCGGGGCAGGGAAGGGGGGAGATGTCCGCGTGCGAGGACGTGAAAGGATCCGCCTGCCGAAGAGCGTGCACGTGTAAATTCGGGCCAGGTGTCGAGGGGGACGCAGAGCTGGGCTGGGCGGCCAGATCAGCAAGCTCAGGGCGAGCGCCTCCCGCAGACGTAGTCATGTGTCCGCAGGCCCTGACCCCTTGTTCTTTGGGTCGGCGGCCAGCTTCCGTTCGGCGTCCTTCTCTTCGCGGAGCAGGCGGCCCTGCTTCGCGATGGTAGCTTGATCCTTCTGGCGGCCCTCGACCCGCTGAGAGAACGCCGCCGTCGTGGCAGCTCCGCCCCCGTCGGTGGACGCGCTCATCAGGACGTCCAGCCCAGTGAAAACGGTGACCTTGGGGTTGCGGCGGGCCGCCGCCTCTATCTGCACGAGGCGGCGGATCCGGAGCTCCGTGCTGGCCAGCATCGAGACGTCGAGCTGGTCGAACTGCACTTCCCAGCGGATCACCTCCGAGAGGAAGAAGTGCTGGCGAGCCGCGGCGCCGTTCACGTTGACGCCCGACTGCCTGGACCACTCGCGGCGGTGAGACGTGAGCGACTGGCCCTGGGCCCGCAAGCTCTGCAGGAACTCCGCGGCCACCCGAGGCCCTGCGAAGGGGAAGTGCTCGATCCTCGTGTTCTCGAAGCGGGTCAGAGCGCCCTCCCTCGAGATGAAGGGCACGCCACGACGATCTCGAACGAGGCCCGTCGCGCGAAGATCACGGCCGAAGGCAGAGACCTTGTCCAGGCGCCAGGACTCCTCACGGTCCACCCCGACCGCCTCGGCATGGACCCAGTGCCCGTCGCCGTCCACCATCGCCAAGCTGCTCGGCCCGCGAGCGACGAAGCAGGCGGGATCGGCGATCGCTGCCTCGGGCGCCGCGGACGCGAAAGCCGCGCGCGCCGGGTCCGCGATCCGCCAGACCGTGTCGGGGGCCGTGCTGCCGATGGGGGCGATGCCGTGCACCGCGGCCAGCATGCGACCCCGTCTCACCAACTCGGCGAGCTCGGCGGCCGTGAAGGGGTCGAAGATGAAGCACTCGTCCCGATACGGCGGCGGGATGATCTCATTCCGATCGACAGGCAGCGCGCTGTGCAGGCCGAGATTCAGCACCTGTACGGACCCTGTGGGCGTCACGGCCGTCCACATCCCCTTGCCGTCGGTCTGCAAGAGGCGATGATGCCAGAAGAACGCGTTGGGGTCGTCGAAGAAATCGATTAGCACCTGGGGGTTGGGCACGTCCAGTGCCCGGGGCACGCCGGCGGCGCCTGCCGCCGCGCGCGCCATCACGCAGGACTAGGGCTGGCCCCGAGGGCCAGCGGCGACGCGGGGCCCGTGTAGGCGCCCGGCCGCAGGCGCGCGCCCGCCGGCGAGCGGGCCCGAGGGCGCGGCTCGCAGCAGCCGCGGCTGGCCACCCCGAGCGCGAAGCCCACGAGCAGCAGGAGCACCGCCAGGGCGGCCCAGGCAGGCGGCGGCAGCAGCGCGCAGAGCGGCGGGGCCCCCGCCGCGCAAGTGGCCGCCGCGGGCGCCGGGCTCGCGGGAGCGCTGAGGGCGCCCAGGCAGCGGTCCAGCGCCAGCTCCAGGCCCGGTGCGTCGGTCCCACTGCGAGGAGCAGTCCCTGCGGCCGCGCTGGCGGCAACCTCGCAGCGGCAGAGGCACTCGGGCGGAGGAATATCGAAGGCGCGTGCGCCGTGCGATGCCCAGGTCGCAACGAGGTTCGCCGCGCCCCACCAGCCCCCGAAGTCCATTCGGGCGGCTTGAACCCACATGACTATGACGATGCAAACGACCCATCGTATGCCTCCCCGCTCCCGTTCTGGCAAGCAAAGGTAACATCATCTATATTGGCAACATGCACCTTTCGCACTTGTCTTCGCTTATTAAACGCTGCGCGGAACAATCGCGCGCACCTACCGCACTCGAATTGACACAAACGTATGAAGGAACGACCGGCCCCCGCATTCTCCGAAGCGCCAGAAACGATACATGACACCGTGACGCACCCAACCTATTTGCAACAACTGACAAAAGGAGATGGTCCAACATACGATGGCCGATGAGAACACCGGAAGTGGACTTGGTTGTGCGAGCTATGTAAGGAGCGCGCGCACGCTGCGCGACTCCCATGACAGCATCGTAGCGGCGAGGACTGCATCCCCAGGCAGCTCGAACAAGAAATTGAAGCGGGAACGAAGGGGAGGACAACTACGGAAGAGGAGCCGAACAGCTAACGCGCCGCCAACAGTTCGACGGTGTAGTGAAGGAGAGGACCACACCGAAAGAGGCAACATGGGGAAGGAGGGCGGCGATCATGATCCAGTAGCGCGCTGGACAAACAGCGCGGCCCACGCCATGTCGCTCTGGCGCTCCACAAGACCAGCGGTTCATAGCTATTGCAAGAAGCGAACGAGGCCGACTTCGCCCGCCAGGTTCGCCGAGACCTTCCACCACCTTGCAACGCGGGAGTTTAAAACCCCGCAAGCGCCGCCAAATCGTTGGGCGGCCTGCGGGAAAGGAAAAATCCATTCCAATCTGAGTCCGCGTGGAGCGTCGCTTTGCTGGACCCTTTTGCAAGCCTCGGAAGTTGCGACAGTTTAGGACGTCACCCTGCAGGATCACCAGCCCTGCGGAAACAAAAAAACGACGATTTTGCAGATCGCAGCCCCCCCTGCGGATGGTGAGGTCTAGCCGAAGGTCTTCGCAGGACGTCTCTCAGCTGGACCCCCCCAATTTCGCAGATCGCAATCCCCCACGCCTAAGTCCAAAGTGGATCTGCGTATGACGTCGGTCCCCGGGCCCCCCCGGCAGCCGTCGAAAGTGCCGCCACTGTCGCAGATCGCAGCCCACCCCAGGACAGCGAGGTCTAATTCGGTCTGCGTGGGGCGTCACCCCGCTGGGCCCCCCAGCAGCCCTCACCGACCCGTCGCCTGTCTCACTCGGGCCCCCCTTGGGCTCGCGTTCCTTGGTCTCGCCTTTCTTCTCCGCGCGGAACGAGGCTACAAAAGGCCCGCGCCCCGACGCCCTTGCGACCGTACTTCTCCGAGCAGTACTTCGCAACACTATCAGAGATTGGCGCCGCGCCGCTGATGGCGAGCATTGCCCGCGAGTCGGAGATCTCGCTGTCAGACGGTCCCCTCTGCTCCAATGCGCGGGCCGCCTGCTTGAAATGGTCTTCGCGCGCTCGCACGAGCGCCTCCGGCATCGTGCCCCGCCGCGCCAGATGCGCCAAAAACAAAGCGCCCGCTTTGGCCTCAAAGGCCGACCTGGCCTCGAAGTCTCGGGTGAAGCGCGCAGCCACGAAGTGTCCCAGCGCATCGAACGTGTCCGCCGAGAGGCAAAATTCCTCATTCCCCCCATTGCCCCCGCATGTGCCCGTCCTCCTCCTCGCCCCCCTCGTCCTCATCCTTTTCCTCCTCCGTTTCCTCCTCCTTTTCCTCCTCCTCCTCTTCCGTCTCCTCCTCCTCCTCCTTTTCCTCCTCCTCCTTCTCCTGTTCCTTCTCCTCCCACTCCCCCTCCTCCTACTGCCCAGGGTCGGCGGCGCCGGCCGCAAATCCTTCCCAGTAGACTGGGCACTGCGGGGTCACAAGGTGGTCACTGCGCCGTGGTCGTCGCGGCGGTAATAAAGGAAATGCTCCAAGAACCTGGGGCGCGCCACAGTGACCAGAGTACCGCCTGCCACGTAGCAGGCCACGAGAAACAGCAAACTCTGCGCACCCCTGTGCCTGCGTACGAATGCACCCTTGTGCTTGTGCACCCCGCCGGCGTGTACATACATCACAGTGCCCGCGTACACCACGAAGCCCGCGTACACCTCCAGGTGCCCGACAGTATCAAACTCCAGAAAAACATGGCTGGCCCAAACGTATCGAATTCAATCTGCAAGTTGTGTGTGAATAGCGTTTTCTTCTGGCCACGGGCACGGCCTTTATCCCCGTTGCCCGCGCGCACAGCAATACCAATGTAGACAACAATTCTAGACACCACCACGCTTGTGTGCACCATAACTGCCGCCGCAACCGGCGTGTGCGGTATGCGCGCCGGACAACTTATCTCTTCCAATGTGGGTGCGCCACCGCTCCTCCCCGGGTGCCACGACAGCCTGCGCGCGCCACGCGCCTCTACATACCACAAGCACATGCCTGCGCGCACTGCAAACGCGTTGCGCGCGCACTACGGACAGCACACCTGTGCGCTAAGCAACAGGCGCTGCTGCAACAAAGGTGGGTGTGGCGGCGGGCGTTATGTTATCTAGTGAGGGGGCGGTGGGTTGGAAACCACATAACGCGCGTTACGTGTTCGAGTAGAAAACTTGAGCTCCAACATGACACGATGCATTGTGTCAGAAACCATTTTTTGCCGTGCTCTCACGCGCACGCGCTTGCGCGCGCAGTGCACCATCAATCAGCAGGGAATGACCATTGAACTTCGAAAGATGAATAGTCAAAACCACGTGGTTCACTAGTATTCTAAGGGCCCAAACATGTTATGCATTGTGTCATGATGCGTTTTCCTCAATGCTCGTGCGTGCGCGCGCAACACAAACGAAGAATAGGGGAATGGCAAACTCAGCTTCGAAAGCTGAGTGGTGAAAACTAATTGGTTCACCCGTATTCTGAGGGCCTGAGCGTGAAACGATGCATTATGGCACCACGTGCGTTCCTTATTGCTCGCGGGCGCGCGTGTACGCGCGCCCTCGCGTGCGCAATGCAACAACCACTCAAGCATGGTCACCTGAACTTCGAACGCATAACGGTGAAAACCAATTCTCCAACTCGATTCTGCGGGCCTCAACACGGAGTAATGTATTGTGGCGCCCGATGCGCCTCCTTGCCCGCGAGCGCAGTACAAATACCAATCAAGAACCGATATAAACCTCGAAACTGTAAACCAATTCTTCCACTCGGATCCTGGGGCGTTCGCACTGCAAAACAACGAATAACGAATAGCCATCGCAGCCTCGAACATTGAATGGCGATCGCTGAGCACCAATCATTCCACTCGTACTCTGAAAACCTCAACATAGAATGATGTAGTGTTGCGCAACACCCTTTCCCCTCTCTACGCGAGCGTGCCTGCTTGCGCGCGCAAGTTGCGTTCACCATTTGTCATGTGGTGTTATATTGCGCACGCGGGAACGCGCGTTGTGTCACAATGCAGTCTTGTATGTTGGGGTCCTTCAGAATACGAGTGGAACGATTTATTTGCATCATCCAGTTTTCGAGATTCAGATGGCCATTCGTTAGTTGTTATTTTCTTGCGTACGCATAAGCGCGCAGGCGCGCTCACGCGAGCAATGAGAAACTTGTATGGTGCCACAAGCAATGCTTCGATGTTGAGGCTCCGAGGATACGAATCGAATAATCGGTGTTCGCCATGCAGTTTGCGTGGTTGACATGGCCGTTACTTCTTGGTTTGTGTATTGCGCACGCGGGAACCTGGGCACGTGCGCGCAACGAGGCCCCGACCTCCATACGTGAAGCGCTCGCAATCTTTGAAAACGAATCTGCTCGGCACTAAGACGAGAACCACATACTAAAAAGGACCCGCCCTCCATGCGTGAAGCTCTGGCATATTTTGGCGCGCAACGCTACGGCGATAATCATACTAAGTCACGGAGCCGCCCTCCATCTGTGAAACTCTGACAACATCCATTACACGAATGTGCAAGGTGCTGCAACGAGAAACACATTAAAAAGGAGTCGCCCCACATCGGTGAGGCCCTTGCAATGTGTTAAAACAAATGTGCGCGGCGCAAAACGAGAGGCACATCATTTGAAAGTACTCGCCCTCCATCCGTGGATACCTCGCAAACTGTTAACACGACCGTGCGCGGCGCTACGGCGATATCCGACGTGTGAAAAGAAGCCGCCCTCCGTCGCGAAACTGTTGCAAGACTTTGAACATGAGTGCGCGCGGCGCTACGGCGAGACCACGCATGATGGAAAGGAACCGCCCCACGTCCGTGAAACAATTGTAAGCATTTGCGTAGCGATGAAGCGATAGTGACATCTTGACAAGGACCTATGACGAAACCAAGGCCAGGATAAACTCGGGTGAACATAGATCGAGCATCTCAAACAGCCGGCGGCTCTGGAGGATGTATCCGGCGCCGCGGTCTCCCCACAGCGTTCCCGTACGCTCTTGGACGGATCCATCCTCGTTGTTGCCCCGTCCGAAGGCCCGCCCTCCATGCGTGAACCCGCTGCAAGCTTCAACGACGAATGTGCGCATGTGCGCGGCGCTGAGGCGAGAGCCACGCTTTGAACATCTGGGGCTTGGAACTTCATTCCAGGAGCGGGAAATGACTGATTTTAGCTGGGTGCACTGGTGACACGGTGGAAATACTCCACCCTACTTACTTCCAGTGCATGAAAATGGAATCCTAAGAGTGACTCGTGACCCCAGAGGAGGAGTCGGAGGAAGAGGGAGGGGAACAAGGGAGAGACAAGGACAAGGACATCCGCATAAGGGGGTGCAGCGTCAGATCACCGACTCAGGTGTCTTACGGACTGCTGTCAAAATCCCCTGCGATGGGTTGTGATACAGCCCTGCCTTCTCACTACGGCTGGCAGGGGGCAGACCGCGCTGCTCAAGGACCGAACTCTGAAGTGGCCCCGTAAGAGAGGCGTGCTACCTTACATCGCGAGTCCATGCGTGTCAATGCGGGGGGAGCGGCTGCTGGCCCTTCGGCGTGCCCAAGGGGGAGGGGACGCGCGGGCTTAGCAGAGCGCGCAAGCCAGGGGGGAGGGGACGACGACACGACCTCAAAAGGAGGAGAGGGGTGAGGGACGGAAGGTCCGTGGCCCCAAACTGTTGCTGGGGCGGCTGCTTATTCTACTGTTTAAATTCCGTGCTCCCATCTCCCGCTCGGCTCACTTCTCGGTCTGTCCGAGAGATGTCCAATGTATTGCTGCATCTGTACTTTGATACCCTGGTGTAGTATCCCACCGATCCCCTTCGAAATGTACGTGGGGTAGAACATACTGGTAGTCACGGTATGGTAAGGCCATTGGGGAGCATACTGGTGGGCTTCCTGATGATCACTATTTTTTCTCCTTCGACACCCTGCAGTAGTGCACCTGTCGGTACTCGATCCCCTTTGACTGGGTTGAAGCTACCTCCAATCCCCACTCTTCAACGGCCAAGGTTGGGCGTCCCAAAACGGTGGGTAACAGACCGTGCGTACACTCGAACTCTCTAAAGACCTCACCGCACGGTCCGACACCGCACATTCTTGGGACCTCCGAGGCCCCGGCCGCCCAAAACGTCCTCGGAGATCGACACGGGTCCCAAAACCATGCGGTCACCTCAAATCCCAACCAACTCACCACACGGTGTGGTCACCGCACAGACTGGGGGACCCCGAGGGGAGGAGGGAAGGAGGGAGCGCCGACGACCCCATCGGACTGCATCCCGAACATCCGATGCTGTTTTTCTCATCAATGCAACTTCCCCAGAAGTCCCGACCCTCTCCCCAGGGCCGGCTTCTCATCCCGAGCAACTCTTTGACGGCTCTGGTGCCCGGCGAGGGCCCCCCTGGAGGCCGAAAACGACGAACCACCTACGCCATGATTGTTGTTCCACACGTTGGATGTGCAACAGCGCTCAGAGTCGAATCGACACATCGGATCGGCGATCGAGATGAATCCGATCGGCAAACATCGGCAGTAAACCGGGAGAAGTCGAATCGGCCGGAATCGGCAGGCTGATAGGCCTCCATCGAGCAATCGGAACCGAAGTCGAATCGACTCGGACTCGAAATCGGTCGAGATCGAATCGAATCGACTCCGAGGAGTCGAAATGGGCCCTGGACGTGTATTGGGCGCGACTCCATGGGTGGGCGAGGGGGGAGAAAGGTGCCCTTCTTGGGCCCTGAAAGGCCCCTGTGGGGGGGGCCCCAGAGGGCCCCTTCTCGGCAGCCCTCGCTGCCCCCCCCACGTCTCGCCGCCCCTCTACGCGCACTCCGAGTGTCGGCTTTGGAGCTGCCTCTTGGCCCCGCCCTGCAGCGGCCGTGGGCTCCTCGCTCAGCAGCCGCTCCCCGGCGCCCGGCGCCAGGTCCTCGGGCGGGACGCCCCACGCCGCCGCGCCGCCGTCGAAGGCGTCGAGGCCCAGGCCCTCCTCCAGCACCCCGAGCGCCTCGGTCGGCCGCACGCGGGAGGGGCCCTACAGTCGACCCGCATGGTAAGGACGACCGAAACAGTCGGGCCGCTGAAAGAAGGAACGCTCAAGAAGGACCGAAGCCCCTCTGTGGCCCGAAAAGCGCCTCCGTGCCCGAGGAGGACAAGGAGAACAGCAAGGGAGGAACCTAAGGAACATCGAGCTCCTTCCGAGCCCAAATTGTGCCTCATTTCAGCGCCTTGATTGTAAGGATGCAATGGCCTCGGGGGGGCCATGCGGGCACTTTGCGGGCGGGGCGCGGCCAGCGAGAGCGGCCAAGGATGGCCCGAGGGGGAAGGATGCAAGGGTTACCCTGGAAAGTCGCTCATCCTTACTGCGCGGGTGGACTGTATGAGCAAGAGCGACCTTTGGTGCACGCGGGTATCGCGGGCCGCGGGCCCAGATCCCCAAGGCATGCTGGGACGTTCGATATTCGACGCGTGTCGGCTCTGCAACTTTCGGCCTCCGAGGGCCCCCCCGCGGGGGGAAGCCCCAGGACCGCCACAGAAGCGACTCGGGATGCAGGAGCCTGCCCCCCGAGAGGGGCCAGGGCCTCCAGGGACCCCGCTCTGGCACGGTCGAGGCGTCCGGTGCCCGCGAACCCGAGCGCGCAGGCCGGAGCTGGAGGCCGACCCCCCGTGGGGCCCGGGCCAAGGGTCGCCCCTGCCGAGGGGCCACCCCTCACGTCCAGCCGACCGCCTCCGCCTCCGCGATCACGGCGCGGCCTCCCGGGCCGCCCTCCCTGTGGAGGCGGAAGAGCCGCCCGGCCTGGGCCAGCCTGTGCTCGCAGGCCAGGCGCACGACCCGCACGGCGCTCTCGAGGTCGACTCTGCCCGTGCTCCTCACGTCCACCCGCTCGGTGATGTGTCGCTGCACGTGGAGGGGCAGCGCGATGCCGAGCCGCCGCAGGACCAAGGGCATCTGCGCGTGGTCGATGTCCACCTCGTGCTCGAGCTTGCACGCGTCGAAGGCCGCTTGGATCTCGGCCTTCATGGCGGCCGAGAAACCGTGCCTGCTGCGATACTGGACCACCACTTGCCACACCTGCCCGATGTCCAGTCCATGATGCACGTCGCTGCCAAAGCAGTCCTGGGCGAACTCGAAGATGGCCTGCCTGTCGGGGAAGTTGTACCCGAGAGCCTTGAACACCTGCGGCAGATGAGCGTGCTGGACACGATCTGCTGCGCCAGGCATAGCGTTCTGCCTCATCACCCGCCTAACCTTCTCCTCCTCCAAGCTGCGCACCCTCCGCATGCAGATAATGAACTCGCGCTGGTTCAAGCTGCCCGACCCATCAACGTCGGCCGCGTCGTAGACCTCCCGGGCGTCTCTCTTCAGCGAGGGCCGCCCGAAATCGTGCTCGCGGGACCAGCTGAAGCCGAGCCACGAGAGCATGTTGGCAAATTCGGTGGCGTCGATGCTGTCGGACTTGTCGACGTCGAAGAGGTCGAACACGTGCAGGAGGTCCTCGAACTCGTTCCTGGAGAAGCCCTCCCTCAGCTTGTTGAGCTCTATCATCTTCATGAAACCCTTGATATCGATGGACCCCTCTCCGTTGCACACCTCCTCAAAAAACTCGCGCAACACGTGCGGCATGACGTCGATTTTGATGACATCGAACACGTACGGTAGCTCTTCCAGCTCTAGTCGCCCGGACTTGTTCCTGTCGCAACTTTGAAAGGCCACGGCGTAAAAATCCGCCTGCTTGCGGGAGTATGCCTCGATGAACTGAAAAAACTCCTGCTGGCCCAGGGTGGAGTAGTGCGTGATCTGCGGCGCGATCTCACTAACCCACTCTGGATTGGGATGGCTGAAACCTACCAGATCCAGCGCCCGCCCCAACATGTCTGTGTGCACCTCGCCAATGTCTCGGTCCTTCAGCTTCCCGTAGATCTCCTCCCAAAGCAACTCCTCCTGAGCCTGCGACGTGAATTGCGACTTCCACCACCGCGGCAACGCCCGACGGGTCGCAAGGCACTTCTCTAGCGTGGCCATCGATTTTAAGGGATCAAACAATGACACAAACATAATTTTTTGGAGGTCCGCGCAGACTTCTCGGATCGGTGCTGGATTCCCCATAACTGGCGCGCGGAACGCACCAGGAGCGGCGCTGGAGGCGCCGCCAAGGAACTCCAGCGCCGATCCGAGAGATCCGCGCGGACCTCCGAACGTTTATATGTTTTTGTCATGTTTTTGCTCCCCAAGCTTTGCGGGCCATCACTGTACCAGGCTTGCCGTTCGAACTGGGGCCGAATGGCCTCTCTGGTGGCCTTGGCACAGGGCTCGACCAAAACAAACTTCTCTGATTTCGTGTTGTTTTCGTTCTCCCTCGTTCTGTGTTCGTTCCGCCCTACGCTACAGAACGAATTCAAAACAAAAACGGTCCACGAAACCGCGAGAAGTAAGACGAAGCCAGGACGAGCATAAATCCGAGCGAAGATCAATCGACAGTCTCTGAGATCCAGCTGATCTAGAAGATGTGTCGAACGCCGCGGCCTCTTCAGAGCTTTGCGGACAGCGTTCCGGAACGCTCTGGAAGGGAGTTATCCTCGTCCTAGCCCAATCCGAAAAACACCGTTTAGCTAGCGCCCGGCCCTGGGGGCCTCGGCAGGCGCGCCCGCGGCTCGGCCTCGGACTCCAAGTCGAAACCGGAGGACGGCCTCTCGCCGCTCTCTGCGCTCGTGCTGGACCCGCTGGCCGCCGGCGGCGCGATGGCTTCGGTGCTCTGCCGAGGGCTTGCCGTGGGGGCTGGCGTCGAATCACTCCTGAGGACAGCACTGACGGCGCCAAGGGACACACCAACACACACACACACACGCACACACGGACGCACGCACGCACGCACGCACACACAAACACACGCACAACACACACACAAACCCACGCACGCACGCACGCACGCACGCACGCACGCACGCACACACGCACACACACACAAACACAAACACACACACACAAACACGCACAAACACGCACAAACAAACACGCACAAACACAAACACACACACACACACACGCACACGCACACGCACACGCACACGCACACACACACTCACACACACACACGCACACGCACACGCACACGCACACGCACACGCACACGCACACGCACACACACGCACACTCGCATACACGCACGCACGCGCCGGCGAAGAAATGTCGCTGCAAACGCTCGCTGGGCCTGACAACGACGGTCGCAATTTACAGGGCAAAGCAAAACGGCTGATAACCTGTGAGAGGGATGGACGCACCTGTGAGAGGGACGGAGCCCGCGCTGCAACTCGGGATGCCCCCCAGAGACGCGTGCGCTTCAGGGCAGAGCGCAGTAAGGTGAAAGGTAGAGAGGCGCGGGTGTTGCCACCGGCCAGGCCTACGCAATCTTCCACAACGTCGGACGAAGCCAGGACGAGCATAGAAACTCGGGTGACGATCTCTGATATCCCGCGGTTCTGGAAGATGCCTCGGGCGCCGCGGATTTGTCAGAGCGTTCCGGCACGCTCTGAGATCGTTCCGGAACGTTCTGGGACGGACTTACCCTCGTCCTAGCCTCGCCCCGCCCGGCCCGCCCCCGACCTGGCGATCCAGGGGTCCTGGCTGGGGGTGGAAGGTGGCGTTTTCCATATAGAACCCTCCCCACCCCCAGCCAGGGCTGGTTGCGTGATAAGCGTCGCCCCCACCCGCAGCCAGGACTGGGTGCGTTCACCAGAGAAAACCCCCCCAACCCCCACCCCCAACCAGGACTGGAACATCCTCGTCCTGGCCCCGTCCGGTTGCGGACCCACAAGCTCCCGGCTCCACCGCCGCACTGGCTCGCCGCAGGCGGCGCCGCTTCGGCGCTTTGCCGAAGGCTCCACGCAGGGGCCCACGCCTCCCCACGCCTGCGCCAGTGCCGCGCGGGGCCCGCCGCCGCGGGCGGCGCCGGCGCGGGCACGCCCGGATCGGTGTGGAAGCGGCGGGGGCGGCGGCCAGGGGGCAGCTGGGGCGGGGAGGCGACCGGGTCGGTGTGGAGGCGATGCGACCTGCGTCGGTGGCAACGCATGGCGGAGCGCACAAGGGGGCAGGGGGAGGGGGGGAAGGATTCTTAGAAGTAGTTGCTTCACAAGGCCCGCGCCTTCTAGCAGGCAGGGGTGCTTCTGAGAAACCTTGCCCCCTCCCTCTGCACCCCTTTGCGGGTGGCTCAGGCTCATGGGAGCCTCCCATGCCATCTTGCAGGCTCTTGCGGATCGGCGCACGCCGACGCTAATCGACGCAAGTCGACGCTGATCGACGCTATAACGGCGCTTTCCCATCGACCACCAGACGCTAGCGCACGCTGATGCGCCACAAAGAGGGAACTGCGAGGACGCACGAGGCTCCCATGGTTTGCGATCGAACGACAGGCTCCTCCCACCTAACCAACCATCGACTCTCCCGAATCGATGGGAGGCAGGGGCACCAAACCCTACTCCTGCTGCCCATCGAGTTGCCTGAATCGTTGATCGGCGATGGTCGGGTTCGGATTTCGCCGCCGACCCCCGACGTCATGGTTTTTGTTTCGTTTTTTCTTGACGTGAACCCCCAAAGGCCACGACCCATTCCGAGATCGTTCTTCTATCCATTGGGGGTAACACGTGTTACCCAGGGGGAGGGGGGAAGGGGGTTGGTGGGGTGGTGATAACGGTAACAACGTCTGGCGTGCACCCCCGAAGGCGCGCCAGACGCTGTTACCGTTATTCCGACAACGGCGACGACGACGACGGTGACGACGACGACCGACGACCGAAGCCGACGACGCCGATGCCGACGATGGACGACGACGACGACGACGAAAGACGACAACAACGACGAAGGACGAGGACGACGGACGATGAAGACGTACCGACGAGGACGACAAGGATAACGACGATCGACGACCGATGACCGACGCCGACGCTGCCGATGCCGACGCCGACGCCGACGCAGACGCCGACGCCGACGCCGATAACAACGACGACGACGACGACAACGACGACAATGCCTGTGCACCTTCGGGAGCCTTCTCCTCCTCCTCCTCCTCATGAAGATGCGCAGGCCGATTGAAACTGCAAGGCAAAGATTCACGCCTGTGGCCTGTTCCCAAGCGTTACCGGTACGGGGGGGGACGGGCGGGGATAAGACGTGTTACCGTGGTACCCCAGGAGCCTCTGGAAGAACAGCCTCTCCCTGGGACCATCTCTTCGTCCTGAGCCGTCTCCTGACGGCCCCCAGGCCCGGTGAGGGCCCCGAGGAGGCAGAACACGCCGAGAAGCCTTCCGCCTTGCTTCTTCCATGGCTCCATGAGGTCTGGGACAGGGGTGGACCTAAACGGTGTTTTGGCGATTTCGTGGGCCGCTTTCGTTTCGATTTCGTTCTGCGTTAAAGGCAAAACGAGGGAAAACGAAAACAAAACGAAAACGGAAAACACCGTTCAGGTTCAGCCCTGGTCTGGGACCTGCGCTGGAGGATGGACTTCGCCGCGCCGTCGCCCTCGGGTGCCCTGGCGCAGCTCGGCCTCGCGGGCCTGGCCGACTGCACCGGGCCGGCCGCCGCGCCGGGCCCGCCGCCCCACGGCTGCGCCAGGGCCGCGCGGTCGGCGGCCTCCATGGAGCGCCTCCAGAGGTCGTGCGGGGCCTCGGCCGCAGGGCCACCTGGGGGGGCACCAAGGGTTAGACCGGGCCTGCCCCCCTGCAGGCGGATCTTGGGCGAAAAATAAAAATTAGTCAAACAATATACCAAAATGGCACAAAATATTCAAAAATCGTCCCCAGACCTCTTTTTGATTATTTTTGAACATTCCCCCTGTAGGGGGACACGCCCGACTTAAACCAATAGGTGCCCAGACCTGCTCGCGTCGTGAGGAGACCACGGCAGGAGGGTCTCTGGCCGTCGACGGCCTTCCTGGGGGCCCTCGCTGGGCCTCGGGGCCGTGCAACATCGGCTCACGAGGAAAAGCTGGCCCTGGGGGGCGGGTGGGGACTTCAGGGGACCGCGCATGGAAACAATCCAGACGCCGCATGCCTGGGCACACGTGCCGCTACTCCCCTTTCTGAACACGATCGGGGAGACGTAAGACTAGATTTCGGGGGGATCGGGTTGGCCCGACGGAGCCGTCAAGAAAATAACGTGGCCCAGTCTGAAAATTGACGCGAACTCCCGCTGCAAAAACGTCCCACGAAAGCTGGACCGTCACAGTCCAGGACGGGCTCGTCAAAACGCGTCGACAAACCCGGTTTCTGACGACCTCGAGTCTTACGCTTCCCCTAAACACTTTCGAAGATCATCCAATTCAGGACAAGCAGCGGTGCCGGCATCTCTCTTCCTTCCCTGACCACGAGGGACGATCGTGGCGGCGGCGAGCGCCCCTTCGGGTTCCGCGGTGCGCGGCCTCGCGGCAGCGCGCCCCGGGCCATTGCTTTCCGCGCCGACCGAGACGCGCGACTGCCGGTGCGCCTCGAACACAGGAGCCCAGGCTCCCGAGACGCCCAGGCGCGGGAGGCCCGGGCAGAACTCCTTGGAGACGGACCTGGGCGACGGTCACAACTGAGTGACGAAAAAGATGGGTCTTGCGCGACATAATATAGCGACCTTACGCGGTGGATGACGCAGGCCGCCAGCGCGGAACGCGACATTGGAGACCGGGGCGCTTACGCGCCTTGCGCGGGCAGCTTGCGCGCCAATGTCGGCGCAAACGATCCCGTTATTAGTGTCGCTCAACTAGGGAAACTGCGCCCCTTTCGGTGATCCTCAAAACGTGTTTTAGCTCAGAAGAGAAGGTATCGATACCACTGCCCGTACACGCGCCCGCACACGCACACACAACCACAAACACAACCGCAACCAAACCACAACTACAACCACATTATCAACCACAACCACAGCCACAACTGCACATACACACACTTGCACGCACTTCCACACACTCGCACACACACGCACACGCACTTACACACACTTACACACACTTACACACACTTACACACACTCGCACATACACATACACACACACTTGCACACACACACACACACACGCACGCGCACACACACACACACACGCACACACACACACACTTACACACAAACGCAACAACACGCACAACACACCACCCACAACACACAACATACAATACACATGCTGGTCGTACGCGGTGGGGACCGGTAAGCCGCACTAATGCCGGGCCAAGCAAAGCACCCGGGGACGCTTTGGGGGCCAGAAGGCGAAAAGAATGTGAAAATACAATTCCCTGACTGGGCAGTGGGAAACGGGGGGCTCGGCAAACGCACATACACACAAAAAAACACACATACGCGAAATCACACCAATACAAACACGCGCACACACCACACCACACCGCACCGCACCGCACCACACCATAACAAAGTACAAACAAACCCAAAACGCACACACACACACACACACGCACGCACACACGCAAATGCACGCACGCACACGCGCACACAGTCACACACACGCTCACACTCACATGCTCTCTCTTTCTCTCACACAGACACACACACACACGCTCACACCACACACACACACACACGCACACGCACACGCACACGCACGCACGCACACTTTGAAGCCGGCGGCGCAGAGGAACCTGTGGCGCGGTCGGCAGATGGAGGCTCTTATCGCGAGCGAACTTAGTCGAACGCGCCGTGATGAAATAATCCAACCACGGTCATGCAGATTGGCGCTGGTGGTGTAGAAGAATGAGGCAGTGTGAAGCCAAAGTGCAGCGGCCAAGCGGCCAAGCATCCCGCGGAACGTGTCTCGACGCCAAGAGTTGAAGCACGAGCAGCAGTCTGGTGCCAATGAACCAACGGGGCGAGAAAAAAAAAGGTGAGGCTGCCAGACCAGCTGGCACGGCGAGGCGAGCACGCACACGCAGACACACACACACACACACACGCACACACACGCACACACGCACACACACACACGCACGCACGCACGCACGCATACACACAAACACGCACACACACACACGAATGGATCAAACACGCTCTCTCACTCCC